TGGCACAGTTGTACATTCACACCTAGAAGCTGTCCAGTACATACACACACTGGCCACTGAGCAGTTCCAGTTAGAATTTAGGGCCTTGCTCAGTTATTAGCAGCAACTGAGAACCTCCTATTAGAGAGGTAAAACACCAACCACTCTAAGGCCAAACCAGAAATAACCACCTACCATCTAAGTCATATCAGAAGCTGCACTAGGGGTGGCTGTGTAGAGCAGGTCGTCTCCTAACTGGAAAGTTGGCAGTTTGATTCCCAGTTTCTCCAGTCCACGTGTGCTTGAGCAAGACACCGAACCCCCAGTTATATGAATGTGAGCACTTGGGAGTGCAAATGGGTGAATGGACAAATAGTGTGAACGCGCTTTGAGTGTGCTGCAATGCATAGTAAAGCGCTAATCAAGTATAAGACCATTTACTGACATCCAGGATTATCAAAACAGGCCATGCACTTGCATCAATTTCAAACCTAAACCTGAAGTGCTGACTGAGACATCCGACATGGGTAGTGATATAGAGACAAAGTGCAGTTTTCTGGCAGTAGCAGCACATCCACTGATTCAGATTAAGTTGATATGATTAGCTTTGAAAATGCTCACAACAAATGAAATGGGTATGAGCTCTCTGTTTGCTTTCCTATAGGGCTCGCCTATGGCCATGAGTGACTCGCACTTATTTATGAGTAGATTATGTTTTATCATGTAAAAGCCAATTATAAATGGGAGCTTAATTACATTTCTTATAGTAAACTGTATGGAGCTGCCTCCAATCATCTCTGTAGTCCCTGTCCTGCTGTCCTCTTCCTCCTCAGAATAATTGAGGCTGAGGACTGACACAGGGATAACAAGAAAAAGGAATATGCATTGGGGAGCGATCAGGCAAATGGCAAGACTCCCTCTCTGCTCTTTATCCTCAAATGGTTCCCACAATCCCCACCTCGTCTTGCACATCCCTCCTCCCGCAACAACCGCAGAGTGAAACCTGAACCCTGGAATTACACCCTTTCACCTCCCCTCACCCCCCTAACCTCTAACAGTGAGAGTGCGAGAGGACAGGGTGAGTGGCGACAAGGTCCCGGGCAGCCACTGTCAATCCAGTGGCTCTCTTTTTGCCATTCAACACCTTCATATAATGGGAGGAGTGAAAGACAAGGAGGGTTCATTCACTGATCGCTGAAGGCGAGCTCTAAGGGAGGAGTGTCAGCTCAGTTTGGTCTGAGTACGAGGACGCATTAATGAGGCTGGAGACCTGTTGTTCTAAAAACAAAAGAGATGAAAGTTCATTGATTTCCTCTATTTCCCACCATAAAACAAAGTGTTGCAACAAATAGCTTGAAACTGTAGTCCCAGTGATCAAATGTTGTTTTCAGAAGGACTGCAGAGACGGTGTGGTAGACAGAAAAAAGTGCACATATGCCCATCAATCCATCCATTAGCTATACCACTTATCCTGAGCACATGAAGCCAGTGGATATATTTCTATCTTCAGATACAGCAGATGCAGCTTTTATTGTCTACTGTTTTCTAGCACATCTGTAAAACTGTCAAAATTTTAACCGAATAAAAAACCTTTTGGGGAATTTAAACCACTGTGACTGAGTGATACAAAAATGATAAGAAAAGTTCAAAATAACTGTCTGAACACAACTGTCGGGTGAAAATGCGTAGGAACCTGACTGATATTTTGAGCTTTTATAATGCTAGATGTTGTAGGTAGAACTGGACAATATGTTAGTATGAAACTGCACTGATATTTGTTAGTGTCATATCAAGATACTGTATGTGTACTTTCAGTGTTGTCTTTTATTTGTCTACATTGCTCTTTTTTGACATGACTTCTAAGATGCTTGAGTGAAACCAGCTACAGATATACATAAACCAATGCTTGTGCTTGCTTGGCTACAATATTCAAAATACTATAGGGCCTATATACACACATATATATGTATACATATCAAAGGTGGGCGACTCAAGCCACATGACTTGACTTGAGTTAGACTTAAGTCACATATCTGAGGACTTCACACTTGCTTGACAAACACTGGTAAAAACCTTGACTCTGACTTGATGTTTGTGACTTGAGACTTGAGACAGATGACTTGAAATTACTTCAGTTTTTAGAACAATAAACTTATATAAACTCAGTTTATATAAGTCTTGCTCCCGAGACTTTTTTTCTAACAAAATAAAGTATTACACAATAGTTTAAGTATTTCCTTGAATAGTCTTAATCTCCAGGCAGTTGCGCGTTCAATACATTGATAAATCAGTTCTGTTCAACTTGTATTTGCTGTTGGGCAGGTTCATCTGTAACAAAGCATAATATTTAATAAAAATTCCGCATTTTGTTTTGCAAAGATGTTTATTTTTAATGTAAGAAATTATAAAGTATGGTATAAGTATATCATGCTTGTACTCAAGTATTGTATTTGAGTAAATGTACTTTTCGACCTAAACATTGACAAAAGGATTTTTACATATTAGTGTTTACTGGCAAATAACTCATTACACTTACACTATGCTGTTCATGTACTGTATGCTGTAGAGCTTCAAGGATGAACTAAAATGCAACCACATCACAACCTAAAGAAGATGGAAGAGATGAGGCAATCAAAGAAATGCCCACTCAAACACTCTCTGACAAACTGGTCCTCAAGTGTTTGTTGCTCTCTTTGTCGTTCATAAACAGACACACAGTGCCCTGTTCTTGCTGCACCTGGTGACCCTCCTTGTGAACTTGTCACACACACACACAGTTATTCAGCTTCACAGGTACAAATGCATATTAATTTCAGTTAGTTCTGTTTGTTGTCCAGCCCAGAAACATAAAAAAAAAAAAAATCCAGAAAAACTGGATTTGACCACATACCACTCCCTGCACATACATTGTGCTGGGGTCAAAGGTGTATCCTGGAGAGCATGCATAGTAAGGTTAGAAGGTGGAGTTCAGCCCTGTGACAGGTGAAAATGCTTTCATGTGCTTGCTCCATGCCAGCCTAAGGGCAGGTGAAGTGCGGCTCCTTGCCAGTTCTTCACATGCAACAAATATCCACTGTCACTGACTCTTTGTTTCACATACTTTGTCTTGGTCTTTTGCCTGCTCATTTCATTACTTCTGCATTACATATCATTAGAACTAGTAAACATATGTTTATCTGTGAAGTCCAAAACTCCACAGGAGCAGGAGTTACTGTAGATGTCACAAAAATCATAAGTGAGCATGTAGAGTGGAAGTCAGAAGTTTACACACACTTCCAGTCAGTAAAACTTTGGGTTGTTTTTTTTTTTACCAGTCCACAGATGTCATGTTAACAAACCTTTATTTTGCCAAGTCAGTGAGGACATGCACTAGATGCATGACAAGTAATTTTTCCAGTAGTTGTTTACAGATAGATTATTTCACTTATAGTTCCCTATATCACAATGCCAGTGGGTCAGATGTTTCCATACACTCAGTTGATTGGGCCTTTAAACACCTTGGAAAATTCCAGAAAATGATGTCATGGCTTTAGAAGCTTCTGATTGGCTAATTGACATAATTTGAGTCAATAGGAGGTGCAGCTGTGGATGTAGTTTAAGAACTACCTTCAAACTCTTTGTTTGACATCATGGGACAATCAAAAGAAATCAACCAAGACCTTGGGAAAAACACTGTGGACCTCCACAAGTCTGGTTCATCCAATTTCCAAACCCCTGAACGTACCACGTTCATCTGTACAAACAATACTATGTAAATATCAACACAATGCAGCCATCACACAGCTCAGGAAGGGGACGTGTTCTGTCTCCTAGAGATTTGATTTATTCTTTCAAACATGTAGAAACAAATGATATCAACACACACATAATTTACACAAATCCAACCAATGCTAATCCAGAATCAGTTTGCTTATACCTAGTACATGTTTGAATGGAGTAGGAAGAAGTCAGACTTATCCGAACTGTTTGGCCATAATGACCATCGTTATGTCTGGAGGAAAAAGGGGGAGGCTTGAAAGCTAAAGAACACCGTCCCACCTGTGAAGCATGGGGGTGGCAGCATCATGTTGTAGAGGTGCTTTCCTGTAGGGGCACTTCATAAAATAGATGGCATCATGAGGAAGAAAGATTATGTGGATGTACTGAAGCAGCACAAAAGCAACTGTTAAAACCATGGATGATAATATGTTCAGAGTAAAAGAAAATCTTAAAATGCCTCCTAATATATCATCAAGTTAATGTCCCACTTGAGCATACACAAATATAAAGAGTGAACAACACAAGATACTATCCTCCTATCATGGTAACTAGAAGTAGACAATTTATGTGTTTTTCAACATTTTGACACTAGTTTAGAATAGAGTAAAAGATAAATTACACTTATTACATGTGTTTCTGGGGATACTTTAGTTTTTCTTCTCCATCTTCTGACCTGGTCAGACTGGTGTGATGTGTGCGAGTGATGCAGCAGAAAATTGATTGGGACAAAGCCGGTTAACCAGCGGGGAGAGTGAGAAGGGCCGGGGGGTTGCCAGTGCCTGGGTCGTGGGATCAGAGTAGGTCATGGAGGTGTGGGAGTGTCTGTTCGGCCCTCCGACCTTTGTCACTGAGGCTTCCTATAATCCCATACTCAAAGACCATATGGACATAATGAAGAGCCCATGAATGGAGTTAAATGGTGACCATTAGACGGATCTGTGTTGCTATTCTTCTTGTTTGTTTAGTCTCGGTCACTCTCATGTTTTCAGTGTAATCAGGCATGTGATGGAGGGATGGCTGGAGATGCCTGAGGAAGTCTAGGGTGAGCGCCACAAGACAATAGTTTATTGAAGATGTATATCCACCTAAAATTTATGAATGACAAAACACAAGAGGGCAGGGAAAGGAAAAGGAATGTGATAGTAACTGGATGTCCACCATATTATTGGAGTTCTGACTGGAGTTCCCCTGAGGAGACAAAAATACCACCAGATTGTCTTCTTTAGACTGAGGGATCTAACTGGACAGTATATTACTGTTTTTAACTGGGTAGTTTCTTATATTTGCAACAATTGATGATAAACTCTCTGAACCATTCAAAATAACTTGTGAGATTCTCCAAGGATTGATTGTAAAGCCACTACATTTTAGTATGTTACACCTAGGTGGTGTCAGCAGGGGACATGGCATTTCTTTCCATAGCTATGCTGATGACACTCAGCTTTATGTGGGGTTAGGGGGGTTATGTGGACATGTCTCCTTTCATGACACTGGGTCAAGAGATGCACTTTTAAAATGTATTGTAGATCTTAGTGTCAGGATGTCACAAAACCTTTTACAGTTCAACCTGGCTAAAACTGAGATTTTAGTTATAGGGTCAAAGGCTTAGAGAGAGAAACTGGTTGACTGACCCTGAGCTACCAAACCAGAAACCTTGGTGTCATATTTAACTTGGACCTGAATTATAAGGCTCATGTGGGGTTTGTCACCAAATCCGCTTTTATCATCTTGAAAATATCTCTAGAGTATGACCATTTCTCTCTTAAAGTGACACAGATAGTCTAAAGCACCCTTTTCAGGGTGGTTTCGCATTAGGGACTGTGGCCCAGGTCTGAGTGCACTTGACCCTTCATTTTGATTAGTGTGAACCTAAATGTATCGGACTCAGACACCGTGCCCGTGTCTGCTTGAATAGGTGGTCTCGAGCACGATTCATGTGTATTCAGGTATGGTCCATGGGAGATATGAATGCAAACTTGCTCAAACAAGAAAGTGGGCAGCTATATGATGTCTTAACTATCGGACTCTGGTGGTTTAAACATTAACAAACATGGATGTGAAAAGATCTCTACAGAGTAAAGAAGAAGTAAAATGCTTCCTTGAAATTTGGGCTGTGTTAGGGTGCGCTCGAACACAGAGTGAGCAAACAGATAAAAAGCGGACCCAGGTGGCTGGCTTCGGTGCAAACAGTGAGGTTTATTTACAGTGAAGGTAGTGACATATATACAGGAGGAGTAATGAGGTAGATGACCGGGTGTCGATCAGCAGCAGCAGAAAAACAGTCAGTGGTATGGTGGATGATGATGTACCGGGCTGCGGACGCAGAGGTCACTCCTGGGCTGGTCGAGGTGGAGGTGATGATGGCTGTAGACAGAAGAGCAGGGATAAACTGGGTAAGGGAGACTGTGCATCGACCTGGGAGTCTGTGGCGTAGATTAAATCCCCAGAGGAGAGGTCCGAAGAGGAAGAAGACACTAGAGACGGCAGGGCAGGATAACGACTAGGGTGCTAACAAGGACTAGAGAAAACAAAGACAATCATAGCATAAACTTGATAAAACAACATAACAACCACTGGCCTGAAGACAGAGAAAGAAGTGGCAGGGGAGTGACTGGTGAACAGTGTATAAGTATGGAGGAGACTAATGAGGTGCAGCTGGTGAGTAATCAGGGAAGCTGGGCAGGTGTGTTGAATAGTGTAATCAGTGCAAGGGCTAGGCTAGTGTGAGGAAGAAGAAGAGAGGAAGGTGGAGCTGGGCAAACCTGACAGGCTGATGAAAAATACAAAGACAATTGGATACTACATACAGAAACTTTGAGATTTATAGAAGTATTCATCAGTATTTACATGTGCATGGAACAGAAACAAATGTCACCCAGTTGATGATGTGATGGTTGCTTCTTCTTCTTCTTTCTTCTTGGTGGAAACCAGCTACATGAATACTGCAACCTACTGTATCAGACTGTGTACATACACAAGTGTGTTGGGGTAATGTTACTAATGTGGAAGCAGACCTACGTTGGGCACAGTACGAAACAATGGGGCCGAATGTGAAAACACCCTTATATTCAGCGGACTGGACCACTGTAATGCTCTTCTATCTGTTCTACCAAAAGCTATAAATCCATTAGAGTTGGTTCAGAACTCTGCTGCCTGAGTGCTGACCAGGACCAGAAGGAAATAAAACATTACACCTGTTTTTACAGCCTGTCAGTTTCCATGTTGATTTTAAAATTCTTGCTCTAACTTAACTATCTGACATACTCCCAGTGTATGAACCGCATACAGCCTCTTGAACCTTCTGACACAAGCCTATTAGTTCTTCCAAAGTGCTGGGCAAAAACTCTGAGGCAGTTTTTAAATTTTATGCTTCAAACATTTGGTACAGTCTGCCTCATAGCAGCTAAAAGTGTTGATGTTGATGCAAACTTAAAACCTACCTCTTTGTTTTGGACTTTCATTATAATGTTTTAGTGTTCTTTATTTAGTATTATTTATAATACAGCATCATTACTTATTTTGTAAGTCATTCTGCCCTATATTTTTGATGTAGATTTGATTAAATTAAATTCCATTTTGATAGATTTTTTATGTTTGTTTTATTATTTATTTATTTGTTTACTTATGCATGCTTTTTTCATCATACTTTCTGACCTGTAAAGCACTTTGAATTGCTTTATCGAAGGTGCTACATAAATAAAGTTTGATTTGAAAAACATCAGACTTGACAAACTTAGGAAAACAGCCTTTCTAAACAGAAACGCTAGGGTCCATAATTTAATAAGGAAAGCACAAGTCAAGGTCATACATAAATGTGATATGTGTCAATACTAAAACAGAACAGTGACAAGAAAACCGCGAGAAGAGTCCGTTCAATAGATGATCATAGGCAACAACTCAGTCAAGCAACTTGGACAACAAAGCATGGAAAGGTGGATCATGAATGCTAGGCTGAGGAGTGGGAGTGTCAACACTAGACATTCCTCTGATAACAATCTGGCAGTTAATGGAGAGGTAGAAGTAGAGTCACTTAATTAAGCTGATGGGAGACAGGTGAGTGTAATTCGAGTTGGCCAGGGCAGGTAAAGCTGGAGCGTAGATCAAGGAACCCAGACAAGGGCAGAAGAATATCAAAATCAAAAGTGGAGCACCTTGAATCGTGACAATATTAGGTACATCATTTAATTACCTGATTTAAAGCGATTAATTGTTCTTATAGAGAGATTCTATGTCAAGATCTGGTTTTCGTTTCTAGTCTTTATGATATAGTAAGATTATATTGTGCTGATTTATTGTAAAATTGTTTTATCAAATTGTTCATTTTTTTATTTGTATAAAACTTTGAGTAAAGTATGGGTTCATTATTTGAGAATTGTAAGTCTGCCTCCACCAATTGCTTTTTGTTCTGTTTATCAATATGCTGATAACTATCATGTAATTGTTGATTGTTCAGTGTTGCCCATTATTCCCTGAAGTGAACATGTTCAGACCAACAGTCGAAAACATAAAGATGCTGAATTTACTATCAAAAAATCAGAAAAACTAAAAAATATTCACATTTGAAAAGCCAGCGCCACCGATTATTTTATTTTATTTTTTAATTTAATGTATTTATCTATCAATCTATTTATTTATTTGCACTTTTGCTTTAACTAATTGATTAATCATTTATTTATATTCTGGAGTACTGGCTGGTTTCTAGGTGCCTGGGGAAACAATGCACTTACCATGTACAGTGACAGAAGGGATGCAACAACAAATTTTTGCCCAGGGGCCCCTCAGGAGGTTAATCCAGCCATGATTGTTGGGCTTTCCAAAATTTTGAAATGTGCTCGTAGCTGATATGCCAGTGCAATTTAAAATCACATTTGTTTTTCAAAGACTTGATAAATATTGTATATACTGTACATCTTTACAAAAAAGATCACTGTCCTTTACTGCTTGATGTTCAATCCCCGCATATTCTAGGAGAATACTAAGTAGAAACAAAACTCTATAGTACAGTGAGAAACACGTTTATCAGTTTCCTTCTTTCTCATTTAAAGAAATCACCTTTGGACAGTAAGAAGCAAATCAAAACTGAAACTGAAAAAGTTGGACAAATTTATCATTTTACTTTCCTAATAAACACTAGTTATAAAAACATAATGTGTGTCTATTGGGCCTCTTCTGTAGACAAATAAAGGCATTGCAATTTAATCTGACACAAACCTCCTACACTGGTAATTAGGTCATTCAGAATTAAAGTCCATTTCTGTTGTGTGCTCCAGTTATCTACATGTTTCAAAGGAGTAAATTTTACTTATTGTATTTTTTATTTTATTTTTATATTGTCAGTCCAACACACCTGGATTTCTCCCAGAGTGTTTTTAAAATGTCTGTCTCTTTGTCACTGTATTTATCATCATTATCACCACCAACTGACAGTAAATCCCTCTGTAAATGCCCTGCTTTGTGGTCTGTCTTTAGGTGGAGTAGACTGACATCTAGTGGCGGTTTTAGAGAACTGATGGTGGACTCATTGGCTCTAGAGCAAATACTGTGTAACCAGCCTGCTTTTCAACAGAATGGCCTTAAATAAATATCTGTAAATAAATCTGTAGTTTATCTAAGTTTCCTTATTTAATCAAAATGTCTATTTGTTTCTTCAGTCTCTCTTCTGAAAGGCAGACAAGGCTTCTATGTACAAACACTGTGGTTCTGTAGCGATGGACAGACGCTGACTTCAACCCCTGCACAGATGTTCCATTCTTGCGGTCTAATAGAAGCTTGCTGGCCCTTTCTGTCCACTCAGGATGATGTTGATGATTGACAATAAATTTGATAAATAGGCTGTTGTCAGTCTGTTATTACTCCCACTCTGACTCTCCTCTGCCTGTGGCGCTCTACATACCTTTCAAGCATGGGCAGAGCCGGGGAGGCGCTCCAAGGGCCCCCCACTGGCTGTAGTGGGTGTGAGTTTTGAACTGTATTTAAGCCTGATCATTTTGCATCTTGGCTGAGACTGACACAGCATGGCGACTGACACCACACCCCTGGGCTCCATTGAGAACCCGATTAAGTTTCGGGGCCAAGACTACAAGACTCTCCATACGAAGTGTCTGAAGTCCGGTGGGCTGTTTTGTGATCCAACCTTTCCAGCTGAGGAGAAATCCATCGGTATACCTGATCGAGACCCAGATCCCAAAAAGGAGATTAAGTGGCTGCGACCCAAGGTGCGTCCATTTTGAACCACTGTTACGTTGTGCCTGTAGGTAAGTGCCCATTCTTGGCCTGATGTTGCAGAGTGGTTTTGTTATCAATGGTATGGGTCTTTCTCAAATCACTTATGTGCTAGGCCTGTTATGATTTGAAATAATTATGATGGCGTGGCATTTACTATAGCAAACACACACACACACACACATTTGAGAACATGCTGCCAACGTTTGAAACAAAGTCTATTCTGCAGGTATGCCAACACACTGGACACACAATGTTTTGACTCAAAGGACACCTGCATGTATATGTTTTGCATGTTTTGGTCATTTCTGTACATTTCTAAACAGACATGCATATAATGCCAAATGTGTTTCTCACTGTCTTCTCGGCATTGCTTCTTCACTGGAACTGAAACAGCAGTGTCGCACTGGTTGTAAACAGATGTTTAGCTGATCCAGTAGTGATTCAAGGTGTCAGAACAGTTTGCTGAAGGCAACTAACAACAACTAGCCTCCTGTACATGATGAAATAGAAAAGTGCACGCACAAGAGTTACTATGTCTTATCAAATAAATCTGAAACATACTGTATAGGAACAACAGGGCTATAAAGAAGTATTTTCTGAATTAATTATGTGTCAAAAATACAGAAAAGAAACATCTCAGAGCCTCTGATGTCTTCAAATTGCTTGTTTTTCAGTTATAATACCAGTTTGTGGTATTGCAGCATCTTGTGCTCACATTGTTCTCCTATTGCTCCATTTGTCCAGGAAATCAGTAAGAATGCTGTGTTTGTTGAGGACACGATTGGGACCACGGACATCTGTCAGGGCCAGCTGGGTGAGTCCATCAGGAAAACTTCCACTGACATTAAAATGTGCTGCTCCTGCCCACTGCTCAGCTATCTGCCACCCCCCTCAAAGGGTTAAGTGCTAATACTGGAACAAATCGTGCGTAGTTGTTGTTTATTAGCATTGTGCAACATCCTGAAAATCCATACAAGAAGAAAACAACCCACTTATGTAGTTTGCTTGTTTCAATTTTTTGAAAGATGACTCAATGACTTCAAAATGTGACAACAGCCACAAGGACTTGACTTCAAAGCCGCAGAAGAGGGGTAACGAGCCCCCAGATACTATTTAATGTGTTTGGCCTGTTTTCTATTTGTGGTGAATTGTTTCCTGCTCCACAGCAAACTCTCCTTTCAACTCTCACATTTCAGGATGGATGGTTCTTGTCACCAGTTGTGTGCAAATATGTCAGTGTTACAGATCAGTTCCAGCACCACCTCCTTCTTCTTCTTCTTCTTCTTTGTCTATTTCTGAGTATAAAATTTTTACTTATATGGGACTCCAGAATGTGTTTAATAGGTTTTCTGCAAATATCAGCAGTTACTGCCACATCTCCAGGTGTTCAACTTGAAACAGATGTTTGCTTTTGAAGAGGAATGTGCACACGTAATACAGTATATGTGAAAACATGAATTACACTTTGTAGGAGACTAATTCCTGAAATACTTAGATTCACATAACTGACCATTGATTAGACAACATACATGCTGTTCCTCTTACAGTTTCATGCACTTCCTTTGTTTATCAGGTGACTGCTGGCTGCTGGCGTCCCTGTCCTGTCTGACCATGCACCCCACGCTCTTTGTGAAGGTGGTGCCACCCGACCAAAGCCTGTCTGAGTCTTATGCAGGGATCTTCCATTTTACGGTAGGTGTGGCAGGATTAGATGTGCAACAGAGTGCACTCCCTGTCTTTTCTCATTAGAATTTCCTCTTTCACCAGTTTTATCTCCCACCCCATGTTAGTTTAGCTGCCACTAAGTCACATTAAGATTTAAACCATTTAAACAACATGTATTTTCTGTGGCCTTCTGATTCAGATTAGAGACACATGGTCTCTGAGCTCACACAACACATTTCATAGGCACATACACATACTGAGAGGACATTAAGAATTAGCATAATAACAAAAAACTGTAGTGAGTACATTAATTTATAACAGTAATGTATAAATGTAATGATTAATTTAATGAAATGACCAAAATGTGACCTATTTAATTTCTTAAGAAAGTGACAGTGGTTTGTCATAATCAGCTAATTATTGCTCCTGATCCCTCAAACAGGTTGATCCAGACCAGCAGTACAAAGAATCCAGTGCAAAGGTTTCACTGATGTTTAAGATGCATCTTTGAGCTATTTCTTTTTGTTTTCTGACGGTTTGTGATTATAAAACAACTTCTGTGCTAAACTATTGATAGTGTTGGTCTCTGGTGTGTTAAGCATAAATGATTATGTGCAATTTACAGTATCCTTCATTCACTTTTTCTTTAAACACATTTTCATCTAATTTCATGTAATAACAAACATTTTCTCTGAATTACTTCATATTTTATGTATTTTGCCTTATTTGGTTTTATTCTTTTAGACTGTGCCTATCTTCAGTGACTTCCCTTTTTATTTAGCTGTCCTGCCGCGGCTCTGGTATTCAGCTGGATCAGGTAGCACATTGTGCCATACATTGTGCATTACTGCCTGATGCTCTCACATGTAACATGAGACAACCATAAAACCTAATCTTTATCACCTCTATAGAGCTGTGCTCAGCATTCACCAGCCCTGACCTGCTCAGATCAATAAACAAGAACCTACTACAGTAAACTTATGTATCATGTAAAAACAAACTGGCTAATGAAATGAGTTTTACGGTTTTTGCTCAAAGATTAGAGACAGTCAGGGAGAATGTGGCATGACTTGACAAGCAGGACAGAAGGACTGTAAGCTCACCCTACCCTGTCAGTTCCAACATGTAGGTAGTGAATACCCCTGACACATACACACTCAGACAGCTGCAGCTACAACAGACCAGTGCAGGCCTGCTGTTGGCCCTTGCTTTGTACACACAGCTAGCAGTACAGTACACACCCCTGGTCAGGACCAGGAACAGCCTCGGGACCTGGTCACACAAAAGGACAATGTGGCTATTAAACCACAAGGTTTTATTTTTCAGATGTGGACAACCGGTATTAAAAAAATAGATTGTTAAGAAAATAAAAGGCAAAAATCAGCTAAAACAGGACAAACTGTAGAATATCAATGATACAGTGCAGGTACACTTCATATACAGTGCACATGACAAGCATCTTAGAGGTGAAACCATTTGTGGATGGATTGATTAGTCTTCTCAGTTACTCAGTATTACTGATAGGACACAGAGGATTTCCAGGTACATAACTTGTCTGTAACTTGTAGGTTCTCTCAGGAAACCTTTATTTCACAGACAATTATCATTAATGTTTGTTCCTCCCCAGCTTTATAGCATGCTTCCACTCATTGTATTGGATTTCCAGCCCATAACTTTACTGTTCTGGTTCACCCTCACCACTCTCATTGTATTGTTTTTGAATACAGCAGGAAAACACATCAGCACCAAACATCACAGACACAGTTAGTAATTATGATGAACTTAGTAAACAGTGAGCATATATCCCTACAAGTTAAGAAAGATGAAAATCTGAGCTAAAACAGACTGAATATTGGACTTAAATTTGCCAGGTGGCCAGAAACATGACTTCAGATGAATCCTAATGTTGCTTGATGTCTGCTTGATGAATAAACAACTGTTTGCTAACAAGTTTGCCACATCACCGTGCTTGATGTCTGCTTGATGAATAAACAATTGTTTGCTAACAAGTTTGTCACATCACCGTAAATGCTGAAAAGGTGTCAGTGTTGTGTGTTTACAGTTTGATTCTGAAGCCTCAGTCAGGCCAAAAAAGTAGCTGACAGCCTGCCAGTACGCCAAGGCCAGCTGCTCTTTAGCCGCTCTAACACCAGCAACGAGTTTTGGAGCGCCCTAGTGGAGAAGGCCTATGCCAAGTCAGTTGCATATGTTTCTGGGTTGTAATGTCTGAGATCACCCATTCTCTGTGTGTGTGTGTGTGTGTTTATTTGTCACTACAGTGATATGACAAAAAGGTACCACACGGGCACCACAGATAACGTTCTCACCTCTCCTGTTTCCCTTGTGTAGGTTGATTGGATCCTACGGAAGCTTGAAAGGGGGTAATATTTCAGAGGGGATGGAAGATTTCACAGGAGGAATTGCATACTCAAAGGATGTCTCATCTCATACCCCTCAGGACCTGTGGAGACGTCTAAAAGGGGCCCTGTCCAGAGGAGGCCTGCTCAGCTGCTTCATCCATGTAGGCTCCAGTACATACTGTACAAACCTCAGAATGTTCAAGCTAAACAGTTGAATGCTAGTTTAGATTCATTTAAGTTTCTCTTTGTCTCCACAGGCCGGTGACAGCCTTGAAATCAGTAAAGTGACAGGAGACGGGCTGGTAAAAGGCCACGCTTATGCCATCATTGACTGTGACAAGGTCAGTATCACAGAAACAACACTGCAGGCTATGTAGAACTGAACCTCTATAATAGTTTGTTTGTTGATGTGTCACCATCAGTCTTGGCATTTTATGTCATCTCAGTCTAGTTTATGTCATCCAGTAGTGTAATCTCATGCACTGTACGTATGTTTCTTATGGAAACACCTAAAGCAGGAATTAAGGATCTATATGCAAGACATCCGAAGGCAGGCAGGGAAGGTTTAACAGTTTAATTGAACAGGATCACTAGTAAATACAAGAGTTCAGGCTAACAAACTGAGCAGGGTGAAGCAGAGGCAAAATGAGCCCAAACAGGGGTCAGAGGTACTGTATGTAATCAGTCTGGGATGGGCGATAAATACAAGGGGTTAGGCAAACAGAGTTCAGAAGCAGCCAGGGTTGAAAATCCAACAGAGTCCAACAACCAGAAAACACAAAATATTAAAGACGTGTTCACATTACAGCAGAAAAATGAAGGTTTCGCATTGTGTCCAACGATGGTTGGCGCAGAAACTCAAGTAGAAAGTCTCAGGAGTGTTGTATAAAATGGCACTTTCATAGCTACAGTGCTAATGTTGTTAGCAATAGATCACTTTGTTTTACAGCCTCAAACTGCATTTTTAAACAGTCTTGGTAGCAACACTTATATGGTGATGTTTTGCTAGCTAAATAGGTTGCCTCTCTTTTTCTGATCTCAGTATGAGGATCATGTGTTAGTGTACAGTTTGTAAAATTCAGTAATGTTGATGCTGTAACCCAAGATTCTATGAATATAGGCACAGCCAAGGTGAAATAGAGCACATGTCAATTCAGGCAGTGATTGGCTGAGTGGACAAGGTCGGCGTAGGTCAAGTTCAACATACACAACAATGGTGTACAGTATGTGGTGCTATACGCTATAAAAGTCATGGAGGGTTAGAAAACTGAGGCAACAAAGATCACATCAGATAATCTGGCAATGAGCAAAAGGTAGCAGGTAAACGGAGAGATAATCAGATAACAGAAGGCAGGTGTGTGTGTGTGTGTGTGTGTGTGTGTGTGTGTGTGCGTGTGTGTGTGTGTGTGTGGGTGTGTGTGTGTGTGTGTGTGTGTGTGGGTGTGGGTGTGTGAGCGCTGGGAAGCGAGGGATGAGACGCAAGGCACAGCTGCAGAGAAAATCTGGATGTCACAAGGGGCTGACCATGGAATGACAGTCTCAAAACAAGGAAAACAGGGTGCAGAGACAGGACCAGGCCTGAGAGTGTGACAATGTAATCCTGTATTAATTTGTTTAATTTTATTTTACTTTATGTAATCTTATATAAATTCATCTTAATCTAATCCTTAAGCAGCCTTTGCACAGCCCATGGGCTACATGTGGCCTGCAGTGCATCTATTTGCAGCCCATGGTTATCTCGGTTTTACATGTAGGCCTTTGCAACTTAGAGGGAATAAGACTGAGAAACTCAAATTAAATAGCAACAAAAACCTATGGATCATTTTTTGTAACTGCTTTGTTGTCATTGTCAGTGTCATTTTATTTATGAAGCATTTTTATAAACAACATCAGCTGGACAAAGTGCTGTATAGTATAATACAGTACATACTGTAATATAAAGCAACCATAAAAGACAAAAAAGAAATAGCCACATCCCTCAAGTAGGTAACTTTAAATAAGTAGGTAATTGTGTAATACATGTCATGTCAGTGTATTGTGGTGCTGCTGCAGATCTGTCAGAATTTCTGTTGTAAGAAAAATTATAACCACTCTTGATCTGATCAAACAGAAATTAGGAAGTTAGAAATTAATTTAATCACATTGCCTTATGTTGTATTACCTCATCTCATTTCATCCCTATCTAATGTAATGTAATTATATCCTCGTTATTTCATGTCCTTGTACTGTGTCTCAACAAGTCTACATCTTAGTATTACCTAATTTCATTTCACGTTCTCCTGTAGTGAGCTGCATCTTATCCTGGTGTATTATAATCTAATCTGACCTGATCTAATTCCTTTAATACCAGCTGATCTCATTTTGTCTTGTTTCATCCCAATTTAATTTAATTTACTGTCTCATTGACTCTGAACTAATTTAATCTCATGTCATGTTTCCTAACTAATTCCAACTGAATATGATTTAATCTATTTAAATGTAATCTTTTTGCAATTTATCCAAATCTGATTTCTGATCATCTCATTTTAATTCAATTTAGACAATCTCCTAAATGGATTCCATGCTCATGTCATCCCAGGTCATCTCATCTTAATCCTTTTTTGTTCATTGTTTTCTCACCTGTAACTGAGATCTCCATCCACACATTACTTTTATTTCTCGTTATATTTCAGGTGACTAAAGCATCAGAGGAGATTTTGTTGTTGAAGCTGAGGAACCCCTGGGGTTTTGTCGAATATTGCGGACCCTGGAGTGACAGGTGAGTAGATGGACATTGCAGACAACATGCTCATTCACAGGTTACAGAACCTCCACAGGTGTTGACTTTGTGTGTGTGTGGCTGCAGGTGTAAAAACTGGGATGATGTGAACAAAGCTGAGAGGGACAGGATTAAGCTGAAGATTGCAGAAGAAGGAGAGTTCTGGTATGTGGTTAACTTATAGTGAACAAGCTCTCCCAAACAATAAGGTGGTATCTGATGTAACTGACCTCTCTAACAGGATCAGTGCTGAGGCCTTCAGCAGCCTGTTTAATACTGTGGAGCTCTGTAATGTGAATCCCGACACTCTTGACGAGGAAAACACACCTGCATCTCCAGCTACCTGGGTCATCAATGAACATGAAGGATCCTGGGCACCTGGCAGCACTGCCGGTGGCAGCCGCAAATGCAACTGTAGGTTCATGACTTTATAATTGCACAAATATGTATTCAAGCCTACCTGCATCATTCAAGTGATCATGCTGTCCTTCACACTGCTGTTTCTGTCCTCAGACACATATTATCAGAATCCCCAGTTCAAGCTGGTTCTCAAGGAGCAGGACCAGACCGAGGAGGAAGATGAAGATGAGGATGATGAGGATGATGATGATGATGAGGATGATGTGAAGATGGCCCCAAATGAGCAGAAGAAAGTGGACAAGCAGACGCATAAAGCCAAATATTGCACTGTGGTGGTGGAGCTGCTGCAGAAAAACCGCAGGCAGAAGGATAAACTCAACTTTCTCAACATAGGTTTTCATGTCTACAGGGTGAGAAAGAGACTCTTTATTTACTGAGGATTTGGGTTGTCAGCACCTCGATTCTGGATAAATACAAGTGTGTCTTTGTGTTTCTTCTTTGTTGCAGGTTCCCTCTGAGGTGAGACTCTACTGTCATATTTTTATGAACTGCCTGAATATGTTCTTTTATATTCTTAAAAAACTCTCTATGGAATAGGATGTTTCAGTAACACTTTTTAATACAGCCTGTTATTTACAGGGTAATTTTGGTTCCAGCTGTTACTTAAATGTATAAAGGTAGAGTGGAAGAAAACAACACTATGGGGAACAACAAACACAACTTGCAGTTTCATCCACTAATAAGCATTATTGCAGTGAGCGGGAGACAATGCGATATAAAACACAGCCACAGTTTCACAAAATTGCACACACTTATCAAGTTTTCTGCTTCGTTGCACGATTGCAAAACAAGAACAACGAGAGAATTGGCCTCTAACAAGCATGTTTGTTCACCACCGCAGCCCCTCATAACAGGTACACTGGAGTAGAAAACCAACATACCTTTGTTCACATCTTTGGAAGGTTTTTGTTGTCACCTGATGAGGAAAAACTGAATGAAGTAAATGTATAGTATTGAGATGTATGTGTTTCAAACAACTAATCTTAAATGTCTGAAAAGGACCCTAGTCACTACTGTGTTATTTTTATTCTTCTGATTACACAGTATAATGATAAGACCTGTGGGCTGTAATAGTATGTTTTCATCCATCCCATTCTTGTGAATGCGAAATCTCAGGAATGTAAGGGAATTTCCTCAAATGTGATACAAACATCCACTTGGACTCAAGGATGAACCAATTAGCTTCAGGCAGCCAAAGGTCAAAGGTCATGGTCACCTGCTGGCAGAGGCAAACAAGTGTTTTTAGTATTAGATTTTTATTTTTTTT